CTTTTATGGAATAGTGGCTATTTATATTACAAAATGAATTTGAAAAACCAATGCAGTTTATTAATATAGTTGTTTGAGTTGGCATGAATTTTGTATATTGTATATATATAAGTAAATTGGTATCTATACATACATTAGCCTCATGATAGTATGTTTAAGAATTTTATAAGTGGATTCAAGTTGTCCTATTCTTTCAGAACAAAAAATAGTGTCTAGTCTTCTGAATAGCATTTAGAATTGTACTTTAGAAATACTGTGTACCTAATCATTGTGAACTCTGCATCAAATGTTATATACGGAAAGTAACTTTATTTACTGTTTAATATTGCTATTTTTTAAATGGGTTGTTTCTGTACCTAGGTTATACATTACTTGGGGATAAGATTTAAGTCTTATAGTTCTCTTTTTTCTCCACCTCCCATTTTCTGTCACACAGTTGCATAATTAAATACTCAACAGTGTTCAATTAAATGGATGATAGAATGTGTTGTGTATATTTTCATTCTTAGAAAGAAGCTTAATTTTTCCTTTCCATGGTGTAATTTATATTAACTTTTTTCTTGACGTAGAAAAATCCAGTTACACTCTTGAAGGAATTGTCAGTGATAAAGTCTCGATATCAAACTTTCTATGCACGCTTTAAACCAGTTGCTGTTGAACAGAGAGAGACTAAGAGCCGCATTTGTGCTACTTTGAATAAGACTATGACCATGATGCAAAAACTACAAAAGCAAACAGACCTGGAGGTAATGCTTTCAGTTAACAAGTTGGATTTGTATAGTTTTAGTTTGTGTCACTTTGAAAGATAAACTCTCAGTAACTTACATTTTATATTAAAATTTAAAAAAAATCAGCAGTCAGTTTGAACTGCTAATAGAAATGAGGTTTTGTTTTGTTTTTTGGCTGTACGATACAGGGATCAAACCCCAGGCCCTGGTTTTATAAGCACCGCATTCTGACTAACTGAACTAACAAACCAGCTCCTTTTATTTTAAAATAA